TATATATATATACATTTTCTATTACTCTAGCTTTTATCTTTCCTGTCATAGACTTGTTTGTGAGTGTTCTGACAGAAGCTTGTTTACAGAAAACTGAACTAGCTCCTATAAGGATATTTTTACCATGAGCAGTGTGGGTTGGCTGTGTCTGTGTTTACATCAACGACTCCCCCTGGTGTTTCTTTGCAGATCAGCATCGTTGAACTAGAGAAGAGCCAGAGGCAGCAAGAGCTCCTGCAGCTCAAGTCTTACAACCCGTGTGAGGAGTCCCCCTACCAAAAGGCCCTTCCTGGTCCAGAGCCCCGGCCCACACTGGATTTCGTCACCCCCAAACTCACCCCACACGCCTCTGCGGGGCTCAACGGCCTCAGCCCCGAACTATCCATTAACGGCACAGCCTCGCCGGGTTACGAGAGGGGCAGTGGCAGCGGAATGGGCAAAAACGAGCTCCTCACCCGCTACCTGCCCATTTCCCCTGACCACGAAATTGTGCCGCCCACCCCAGACTCAAGAACCAGGCAGCTAGGGCAACCCCTGCCCGACTACACCCGCTTTTCTCCAGCTAAGATTGCCCTCCGCAGGCACCTCAACCAAGATTCGGCTGCCAATCAGTTTAGAGCCCTAGGCAACATCCACCGGTGAGTAAAATTAACGTTAGTTGACTAAGTACTTGTTGATTGGTCACTGATCACTCGCAGCTCTTTTCAGGGGTGACACCGGTGCGGTTTCATCTCCAACGCTGGGATTAAAACATTCTTGCTCCTCACCCAGTTCAGCTGATATTCAAGCGACCATCACACCCAAGAGCACAGATAAAGAAAAGAGCCCAGCTGCCCCCGGCGACACCATAACCAGTCTACCAATCAGCATCCCCCTCAGCACTGTGCATCCCAGCAAACTTCCTGTCAGCATCCCACTGGCCAGCGTGGTGCTGCCGAACCGTGCAGAAAGATTGGTATGGATCTGTGTGGGAGGAAGTCATGATATACAGTCTTGTGGGTGTTTTCTGCAAACATTTTAGCAATTATACAAGCTGTGGTTTTCTTTTGTCAGAGGAACACTCCTAGTCCAGTTTCGAATCCTGCAGGACAGAGCAATGGCAAGCCGCCTCTCACGCCTACCTCAGGTACAGTCCCGCTGCCTACTTTGGCCTGCTTTGTTTGTCATAGATGAAGCTTAGCAGTTAGTTAGTGCATGTAATTCAAACCATTGCACTAGGAAACTTGACTTTTGCCACGTTTTGGAAGTTAGCATGAAATAAAATTGCATGTTATTAAAATTTATATTCCTTTTTAGAAATAAATAAACAATACTGCTTTAAAAAGACCACAATTTAATTAAGCCTTTTTAAAAATCCTAAAAAGTGGTTTTTGAATGTGGCCTGTGGTGCTCACATGGGCAGTGTGTGTTTAATTCCGACTTGTGACCATTCCTGATCCAATTTTCCCCATCATTTCCTGTGCTTTCTTAATTTTGTAATCAACTGAATTGGCAAAATGGCCAAAGGTCTGCTTTTTTTGACCACCTCCATCCTGGAACCACATAACCAGACATAATAGGACAAGGATTCCCGCAGTCTTGGAAAACCTGTATGAGGAAGCCTCATTTTAAAAGTGTGATTTCTAGACCTAGATAAGTCATGTAAATTAATAAAATCTTAATTTTTATGATAAACTTTTTAGTTATTCCAACCTATTATATATTATATAATTATATATTTTATCAGTTAAAAATTGTGAGCAAAAATTATTTAAAAAAATTCCTTATCCAGTCGGCGCCGATAGCCTCATGGGCAGCGTGCCGACATACAGCGCCGTTGCGCTACGAGCGTCCCGAATTTGTATCCCTGCTTGACGACCTTTGCCGATCCCACCCCTCTCTCTCTCTCCCACTTCGCTTCCTGTCAACTCTAAACTGGCCTATCAAAATGAAGGCAAAAACAACAAAAATAAATCTTAAAAAAAAATTCTTATCCAGTAAATCACAAGTGACTGCAAAAGGCTTGTAAATTCATTGGTTAAAAAAAAAAACTATTATATATTATATAATTATATATTTTATCAGTTAAAAATTGTGAGCAAAAATTATTTAAAAAAATTCCTTATCCAGTCGGCGCCGATAGCCTCATGGGCAGCGTGCCGACATACAGCGCCGTTGCGCTACGAGCGTCCCGAATTTGTATCCCTGCTTGACGACCTTTGCCGATCCCACCCCTCTCTCTCTCTCCCACTTCGCTTCCTGTCAACTCTAAACTGGCCTATCAAAATGAAGGCAAAAACAACAAAAATAAATCTTAAAAAAAAATTCTTATCCAGTAAATCACAAGTGACTGCAAAAGGCTTGTAAATTCATTGGTTAAAAAAAAAAAAAACTCGCTGCAACTCGAGTTCGATTCCCGTCTCGAGGTCCTTTGTCGATCCCGCTCCCCTCTCTCCACCCAGTGCTTTGCTGTCATCTCTCTACTGTCTTGTCCCAGGCATAAAAACCCCATAAATATAAAAAGAAGAACATTCAACTCTTAAAACATCTGGAATTCTGATATTTAATTCACAGAACCAACAAGGGTCCATACAGAACCAACGAACCCCAAGAACCAACAAGGGTTTAAATGTAACTTTTGCATACTGTCATAGACATTGGGGGGGGCTGTATTCAGAAAGAGTTGAGAACGTCCAATCTAATCTAACATCATCCATCTATGTAGTTTACATACTTTAGTACTGTACTAAATCCAAAATCCGTTTCCTCCTAGGGTATTCCTCCAGCTCAGGGTTGGTGAATGGCTCTCACTGCGCCATGCTGACCGAGAGCCAAGACTGTGACGCTGCGTCCCCTCCCCCTCACAGCACTCCCATCATGGGCCTCCAGCCTCGTGGCTCTGACCTCAGTCCTACGCTGGGCACCGGAGGTGTGCTGCAGTACGCTGACGGCCCACCGAGGCTTCCTGAGGACGGCCATAACCGGCAGGGTCCCGAATCCGACACGGAGCCCTTGGACAGCGAGGCTCGTCGCCGTATCTTTTTCTCCTCGTCCTCTTCTTCCTCCTCGTCTTCGTCCTCCACAGGAGGCTCAAGGCTCCACCACGGGTCGGTAAAGCAGGGTCACCATCATCACAGTAAGCACCATCACCACCATCATCATCACTCTCCGAGCTCCCACAGCCAAGAGGGGCGGAAACGAGGGCGGCGGAAGCGCAGCTCCTCTGGGGCCATTCCCATTAGCGGATCCCCCAAAAGAAGGGCATTTCCAGGACTTGGCTGCTCAAGTCATTCTTCTGGATCACCACTTAATATCAATTCAATGGTGAGCGGACAAAAAATGGCATCTGTTGGTATTGCTCAAACTTACGATTGGCCTGAAATCAGACCCGAAATGTTTGTTCTTTTACCAGGTGAACAACATAAACCAGCCTTTGGAGATCTCCGCCATTTCTTCCCCGGAGCAGTCAGGACGAAGCCCGTGCGGGACAGATCTAGATCAGCCTCCTGTGCTCAAAAGAGAGCGTCCCCTGGAGCTCAACAACACAGGCCGTTATTCCTCAACCCCTAGTTCAGATGAAGAGGGCACCAATTATGCCCCGGACACCTCTAGTTCAAGCCGGTAATTGCTCTTTTCTTTCAAATCCGGTTCATTGGTGTTTAAACTTTGTAGATCATCGAAAAGATGGTTGATGGAGAACTGTTTTCTCTTTCAGAATTGAACGGAAAATCGCCACCATTTCCTTAGATCGAGACGGACCCATGAGAGATGTGGAAAGGAGTAAGTGCGGTGCATTTTGGCTTATGGACATTTCACGTTCTGACTCCACTAGCTATTTCTCATGCAATGTGGCATTTTACAGGCTTGCAAGGACGTAAATCAGGTGCCAGTAGTGTGAGCAGTGAGGTATCATCTTCGTCTGGATCCAGCAAGTGGAAATCCACCTTCTCCCCAATCTCTGACCCCAAGCCAACTCCTCCGGATCACCGCCAGGGTGGCTCGCCATTCGGTGTGGGGGCTTCCCGAGGCGGTACGGACTCCGACTCGGACCAGAAACCGCAGAGGAGAGGGGAACGTGAGCGGGAGCCTTACGGGAACTCGAACCTCTTCCTCAGTCAGGATGGTGGCGGTCGCTCAGTCGTCAGTGTATCAGAGCGGCCCCTGCAGAGACAGAAATCGCGGGAGTGGGACCTGAAATCCGTAAGCGGATTGGCCAGCCAGAACCTCTTTATATCCGCCGCGGCCAGTGGAGGCATTTTGAGTGGGAAAGTGGGCGGGGCCGTCACAGTTTCCTCTGCCTCTCCAGTGGGACAGTACTTCCCCCTGGGCGGGGCTTCGGTCCTCCAGTCCTTATTTGGAGCTCAGACGCCCGGACCCGCCACCGGCGGAGCCCCCCGGTTGGTCAACGGACATTCGGCGCTCAGCAGTTTCTCCAGCGCCGGGCTGGCAGGGGGCGCTGCAGGAGGTGAGTTGGATATCTTCTGTCTCTCTTTCTGTTTTCCGGTGAATATTGAGCTCATGGTCAGAACAGTCGCTTGGGTGTAGGAAAAAGGTAAGTTAAGGCCCAGCGCTGCCACCTTGCCTGGCTCTCCCACACTGCTTGCTGTGCTGACTGTGCAAAGGCTACAGCTACACACCTAGAGGAAATGACAGCAGGTTGTAGTAAGGTGAATTTCACAGAAACATGTCTGACATATATTTCACCCCAAAGTCGAAAGGAAAAAGTATATGTATAATTAATATTTTTTTCCCACTTTTTTTTTTTTTTTCCCACTTTTTTTTCTTCTTTTGATTTTGCTGTGAAATATAACATGTTCTTGACATGCTTTGTGGGATTCACCCAATGAAACGTACAATTTGAATACAAAACTTACAAAGCTCAGGCCTTTTAAATAATTTTCACTGGCCTTGATGGTGTAAACTGCTGATTTAAAGGCCTGTGAAAATGTCAGAACTGTTAAGCTCTCTGTTGCTTATGAGATTGGCGAGAAACTCCTCTGCTTTTATGGCTGTATTTCAGGCCTTCACATTTTCTCTGGGTGTTTGACTTAATTGCAGGTCTTGTTTTTGGGTGTTGAGGCATTTCACTGTGTACCAGCACCTCGCAGTCCACAGAGATGAATTAGTTACTTGAATAATCTGATGGATGGATAGAGATTGATTGATTGAGATAAATCTAAATAGAGAGACATTTATAAACGGACATAGAAATATGGAGATAGATGGATAGATATGTAGATAGAGATATTTGCATATAGATATAGGTAGATGGATATTGATAGATGGCTAGAGAGAGAAATGGTGGATAGATAGACATGGATAGGTAGATATGGAGATAGGTAGTTGGATATGGATGGATGGATGGATGGGTAGAGATAGTTGGATATAAATGGATGGATAGAGAGGTGATGAATAGAGAGATGGATGGATAAAGATAGTTTGATTTAGATGGATATAGATGGATGATAGATACATGGATTGAAAGATGGATATAGTTGAATGGATGGATAAATGGATATAAATTGATATAGATATAGGTAGACGCATGTAGATGGATAGAGAGTTGTATTTAAAGATATAGATATGTAGATGTAAATGGATATAAATATTAGTTATAGACTGGTGGATATATAGGAGTAGAGATAAGGATAGATGGATATAGACCGATGTATTCTATATGTAGATGTATATATAGTTAGAATCTCCATAAGCTTTAAATTTATGCACACATTTGTAAAACCCAAACATTAATTGCAAATCGTTAATTACCCTTTATGTACCGTATAGAAGAGGTGTGCAGCTCTCAGGTTTGGTGTGAGGTGCTTCTGGTCCATCAGCGCAGTGCCTCGTCGCTTTAATCTGTGCTTGTTTGTTGGATTGGCTTGCTGTTGTGCACAATCTGGCTCAGCCCCCATCTTCTGTCTCTCTGTCTTTTGCTCCCTCTCTGTGCTGTATGTCTGTAGGGATTTTTCACCACATGGTGCCTTCAGTCTCCTCCCAGCAGTCTGGGGCCAATCTC